ATAAGGCATCACTAGTGCAGTGCACATTAATAACCCCCTTCATGCAAATTCTACACTTTTAGCTCTATCATTTGTTCTGTCTTTTTAATTGCTTCTCCTCCTTGTTTGGTAGATATACACGATGTGTAAAACACCTCAGTCTTGTTCGGAAGTAGTCTCTTCTTGCTCAGTGTGTCCCATTTTGTATTTCTGGTTTATTTTTTTATCGCCCGCTTCCAAAACCCTGCACTCATCTACATTAAATTGCTGCCAGGTGATTAGGGAGTCTTTGATTAGAACAGGTGCTCAGAATACGCCGGCCACTTGAGAAATTAAAAACAAATGTGGCCACCTAAAAAAGCAACAGAAACTAATGGGTTCTGTCATGTTGCTGCAGTTTTGAAATTATTCTTACGCCCTTCTGAAACAGTCGCGCGTCCGCTCCTGGTTTTAAAATCATGACAGTAATCCCAGCCTTGCGATAGATGGCACTCACGTAATCTGCAACTCAAAAAAAAGAGAATTTGCAGCTGTGCTACAGCGACTCAATAATAATATAAAAAAGACAGATCAATGTGAAACACTTTCACAGGCAGAAAACGATTACTCAGTATTTTTTTCCTCTGAGCAAAAAAAACTGGGAAAAAAACTTGTAAAGCCTGTAGAATGTTATTACTTCTCTTTAACTTAACAGCTGTGGCAAAGAAATCAGATAAAAATGCTATTTATTTTTCATCTTCATATGTAATAGCGCACAGCAAGGGATTTCTTTTCAGTGTGCGTCGAGGTACACAGCCTCATGTAGCATCACTGGGGACCTGAAAAGAGCAGGCCAGGTGGAGAGATAGATAGGCGAGGAAGAGAGAGACTGATCTTTTCTGTGCCTGTAAGGAAATGACAGAGGAGCTCAAATTAGGAAGGAGGAGGGAGAAAGGGAGTTTGTGTGTTTGTTTCCATTTGTGTGTGCGGAAGCAGGACAGACTAGATCAGCTTGAATTAGTATAGCAAGGTGCATCCCCGTCCACAGCACTTTCTTACAGCCAGTGTGGCAGTCCTGCCTTACACTTCATTTGTGACATTTCCTATGTTCTTTGGAAAAATAATTAATTGCCCAAAATGCCAAATCACACCGCAGAGGTACTGCATTGTCGTAGTGCTGTACCGCATTACGTTTAGCAGAGGCACGGCTGTAATACTCTGAATCTATCATCAGGCCACTGAATTCTTTGCCTAATAAAAAGTCTTGATCGCCTTCCTTTCATTAACTGTCTTTCCACGGCAGAGTAATTAGGCACTAATTTATATCCCTCTTAAAGTGCTTCAGGAGCTCCACTACACACAGTACATCTGACTATGGTTGGCATTTGATTCGGCACAGGAGCCATTACAGTCTTTACCAACACATCCCCCAGCTCCTTCCTGAACAGACACTTGAGGGTCGAGACCTGACGTCGGCTTTTGCACCCCAACAGGGGGCTGCCTGTCAGCCAGGTTCACTCAAGGGTAGGCAGGATCCCTTACAAAGGTGTAGGCTTACATGGCATGGTAATAACAGTGGTTTTACCATGCTTATACCATTCATTTACCCTGCTGCCTCAAGTTGCCCTGTGGTCTGCCACAAGCTTTGCCACACCTGTCTGTGCCTTGCTGTGCTGTTGCAGACACGTCTGTGTGCCCTGCCTGGCTGTCACTTGTCTCCATGAGAGGGTGTGTCATGGCTTGAGACAGACTAGTGGCCTGTGCTGCTGGTGTCTATGGGCTGTGTGTTTGTACAGCATGAGCACCACATCTCATTGCTGCCCAGTGCAGTTGTCGTCGTACAAAGCAACTCATTTCACAAGCACTGTATGTCACTTAATGCCAAGTTTCTCTGAGCAAGAGCAGCATCCCGATGTGAGGGAAAAGCAGTATTAGTGTGTTGTTCCTTTTTAGATACAAATATTTTTAGTTTTTCGTGTTTATGTTCATGGCTGTTGAAGATAAAAATGTGCTTAGCTGGAATGATGGTCTTGCGTCAGGTGTCTCTTTCATCTTTTTACCTTGATTAGCCTCAGGTAGATTTCAGCTTTTTAGGGGGGTGTGTGTGTGTGATCGGATCAAAGATCCTCCCTCTTCCTCTGGTCCACGGTGCGTTTAATGATGAGACAGCAGCTGCAGTCATAAAAACACTGCTGCTATTGTGAGACCATAAAACCTAAACTGCTGGACGCAGAAGGGCTTTGCTGTGCCGACAGAGCCCATGAAAGCAGCAGGCCCAAATTGATGAGTGGACGTGTGCTGTACAGACAGAGCTGACTGGCTATAAAACAACACCAACGTCTTTTACAGGAGAGCTGGAATTAAAAGATTGAAATCAAAGACAACAGACATTTCATTTTGTTTTGGGAATTTATTTTTCTCTCCCATTGAAGAGGGCTTGCAGGCTAAATAGAAGGAAAAGTCTCCTTAGTAACTGAGACAGGCCTCCCTTTGGAATGTTTCTCAATGAGACTTTCCTTAAGGGTGGAAAATGTGCCTTCCCTCCTACTCCTGGATGCCTGAATCCCTTCCGCACTCTGTCCACTCCACTGTCTGCTCAGCCCTGGAGCTTCGTTTGGACAGAACAGCCCTGGCATGATGCCCTTCAGCTTCCCCAATAGCTGGCGTTGAAAGGCGCTGCAGTTATTTCTTTTCCAATGAGATTTGGAAAGCCAGAGGCATGTGGACAAGTCAGAGGGCCTAGATTGTTGCGAGATCTGGTTGGGATGCTGCATATTGATGTGTGTTGTGTGTATTAGTGTGAATGTATTGGAATGGTTCAGGTCTGCTGCTTGCTTCTGCTAATCCTAGTCCTTCAGGACTGTCAATGGTGGAATAAAAATTACACGCAATGTTTGTGACATAAACATCAGATACTATAGACATTTCACTGTCCACAAACATTAAAAATGGCTAAACCACTTTCCATCCTAATGCAACACAACACAGGGTTTTTCCTGCTCTTTGCCTGCATAGCAGCTCTCGTTCTTGCGTAAAGCCTCGTCACACCACACTCCCACAGCAGTCCCTCTGTGCTTCCTCAGAGTTAATTCTATTCTATCCATTTCATTCATCCATTCTATCGTGTCCAAGTCAGAGAGTTTGCTCTTTCCCACGGCCCCTCCTTAATCCTGCTCTTCCCCTCTGACTCCGCCCCTCCCAGCACTCCTCTTCCCCGCTGACTCCGCCCCTCCCAGCACTCCTCTTTCCACTGACTCCGCCCCACCACAGACCCAAAACAGACACCCAAGTGACTGTCAGGCATTGTGTGCTGATAGAGGGGAACCCCTGCTTCCAGTCTGTGTGCAGCAGCTGGACTTGTAATAAAGTGCAATAGGTATGTGAAGGGCAGGTGTGTTTGTGTGCCAAGGCAGTGCTCTAGATAGTTTCTTCCTTGTAGAGTCAGACAGGGAGAAACACCTGGATGGTAATAATAACCAGTGATTATTACCATCCAGTACTTAACTGAAGCCCCTGTAACCTCAGACCCCCTTAGATGCAGCCCTGCAGTTTTATTGCTGCTTTTTAACACTTAGGTGCTTTATGACCTGGTGAAATTAAATGCTCTCTCAATTAATTAAGTCATTAATTATTCCACTTAAGTTGCTGAGGCTCCCCATAGGAGAAGGAAAGAGGAAGCCATGTGTTTGTATGCGGACTGGGCGGACTGGGTGGACGGGCGGACGGCTCTGCAGGAAGAAGAGGTTCTGGGCTGGTTCTGGTTCCTCAGTCCCAGGCTGGTGCTGTTTTCTGGGTTGGGGCCCTCAGGGAAACAGCAGCTCAGTAACAACTGGCAGGCAGACAGGCAAGAGAGAGCAGGGGCCTTGATTCTGGCAGAGATATAAGCCAGATGCCCGATTGTAATCACTGGTGGAGTGCACGAGTATGGATGTTTCATTTTTGGAGTGTTGTGTGTTTATTTAGATCATAGGTGTTCCTCTGAAGACTAGATCACTGTCTTTCGGTGTGGTATAGTAACAGGAGCCCAGAGAGTTTTTGGGCACCTATTTTGTTGTATTTTTGTCATTTCTACCTTCATTATGAAAACCTAAGTGACATGCAGCCTATAATATTAATGTTATGTTTATTATATTGAACTTCCAGGGAGGCTGCAGCATTTTTTACTTTAGTTAATGAACCGGCTGAGAAGGGTGTGCAGACAATTACGGGAAGGAAATGGTTTTCAGAATCATTATTGACTTCACCTGGTGCATCTCCAGCTAGGTTTTGCAGCCATTGCGGAATGCTGAACGATCCTTGTTCAAGCATGGAACGGGATCAGTGATTGGACATGAAGGGAGAGAAGAGTGTGGGAGCGCGCGGCTGACTCGCCGGGACGCCCTGCGGTGCTCCGCGCTCCCGGGCCGCATGGCTGCCTCCCAGCAGGGGGCGCTCCTCTGTTTCCTGCACTGCTCCGCCCCCCCCGCGTTTCGCTCCCATTCCTGCTCCGCGGGGAAGAAGAGAACTCTCACCCGCTTCAGTATCAGGGGCCCCCCGGGGCCAGGAGCTCGCTCCGAGGTGCTCGTGTTGATCTCCTGAGTCAGTCCGGGGATCTGCAGCGGGGCTGGCTAGTCCAGAGGCTTCCAGCGAGGGGAAGGGAATCAGGGAAGCAGGAGGCCCTGGCACCCGGAGTCCTAAACCGTCCTGGAGCTTCCTCTGATGTGTAAACAAGCACTTGACACGCAAACTTTCTTGCCCTGAATAAAAGGAGATCTTGGCGCCCCTGGGTTCTGACAGCCTCGCTTTTGCGGGTGGTGACTCGTTCGGTGGATGTCGTGGAAAAGGCAGACATGTCTTGGAGCCTCGCTGCTCTACAGATGGTTTGATTAAGTCATCCCCTGTTGGAAGATTTCCCCAAACATTGCGTTGTTGTGGCGGAAAGTGTGGGTACAGGATTAACAACACAAGGAAAGTTGTGAACAGAGAGCAAATTAATTAATTAAGAAAGATGCCCGCTGACAACAGCCAACATCACTTTATGCTTTGCCTTCTCCCCCCTGCAGCCAGAGAGCTCTCCACCAAGCTGCCTGGCACAGCTGTTCGGAGAGGTAAGCTCCGTTCTCCCAGGGGCTCCGACCCAGCCGGAGAGATCGTGCGCCACTCTTCAGAGTGATTTCTGCCGCCCTGTCCTGCACAGTCAATTTGCTGCAGAATCGTCTTATCCTTGAGAGCAAAACAGACTGATAAAATCTGCTGCAAAGCCCTCTAGCTGAGAGATCTCCTGGCAATTTCCTCTCCACTATGAAAAGTCTGCTGTCTCATCCTTATTTTTGCGCAGGTCTTCTTCACAAACTGTCTCACAGAGTAGTTTCACGCTCATTAGTCAAAATCTTTTAGCACTTTTGCCAAACACACACTCTGTCTTATAATCCTAGTTCGCTTCTGGGCGCTACAGACTGGCGAAACATGGGGTCTCTGGAGTTCCAGCAATCCTCCTCGAGCAGGTAAAGGAAGTTCTTCCATGGGAAGGCAGATCCAGGGAGTTTTGATGCCAGAGTTAAGAAAATGGAACAAGAATATTGAAGGAGTTGTTAATGAACTGGCTGAGCAGGATGTGCAGAAGTCAATTAACAGAAGGAAAATGGTTTTCAGAATCGTTATTGACTTCACCTGATAGATCGGCAGCTCACTCTTACAGCCATTGCAAAATGCTGAATGACTCTTGTTAAAGCATGGAACTGAATCACTGCACCTTGGCTGTAAAAGACCTACAGTAGTTAAAGGTCAGGAAGAAAATGCATTGGGCTAGCCTTATTATACTGGGTGTTAACCTTGCTTATTACAGTAAATGTAATGAAAATGAAGTATTGATACAGTTATTTTTATAATTATTTTAATTTTTAAAGTCTATTGCACATTTCAGCTGTGAAGGTTCTTTTTTTTGCTAGTACATTTGTAGCACTGACTGATTGAATTGAAGATTACATTTCTCATAAATAGAGCAGTTTTCTAAAACATGGTGTTACGTTAGATAAATAAAAGGTGTGTTGAGGTGCCTGAACTAAGCAGTGGACAGCTGTCACAGTGTAATCTCTCCATCACTGACAGCTCGCTGTCAAAAACTCTTTGTGCTAGGGAATCATTCAGATTAAGGCTTCAGTAACTGTTCGAAACCAATTACACATCCAGACAATTTGAAATTGCTTTAAAGCTTATCAAGGCATTTGTAGAGTCAGTGTCAGAGCTTGTAACTTGCACCAGCATAAGCAGTGGCGAAGTGTGTGTAGGTTGTGGGGAAGAAGGTGGAGAGACCGGGACTGTGCCCGGAAAAGAGGCAGGTAAAGGCTGGAGTAGGACAGAGTACTGTAGATCCCCTAATCCCAGGTGAACAGCTACAACACGAGAAGTCTGTGCCAGGTCTTATTCGGCCATTTGTAGATCCCCCCACCTGGAAACTAGTCATGGGAACAGTGCTCGAGTCAGCCGGGTGGGCCCAGGAGCATGATGGGAGGAAGCCCGGCTCTCCGTGCTCCTGCGTCACTGCTGGGCTCCAGGCCGGGGGTCTACAGGTGGCTGGGCTGGGCGGTTTAATGACACCTCTGGGGTATAAAATACAGGGTTCGTGCTCTGTGGAGAAGTGTGAAGGGCACTGTTCGGGAACGATCGATTGATTGATTGGTTTGTTCTTCATTCAAAGGGCCATGGATTTAAACTGCGAAGATATTATTCTCCAATACAGAAATATGTCACCCAACAGTGACACTTTAAAGACATTCCGGCCAGGCGCAGTGCAACAGGTGTACGAGTGCCAGCGGCACAGCAGACTGAAAATGCGCAGCTCCCATGAGGCCCAACACTGTGCTGGAGCCGGTCTTGCTCCGGCAGAGCAGACGTGTGCAGCTGTGACTCCCTGCCCGCGTGGCCCCTCGGCGTATCGGTCAGCCCACAAGTCCGGCCCTTCCCTTTCCCGTCCGCCACCCGGGGTGGGGCGACGCTCTTCCTGGGGGGGACCAGCAGCTGCTGAAACACGCGTGCGGCTTTCTGACTGCTGCCTCTCGCGGCTCTCGTGCGGGGCGGCCGGAGGGAGAGGGAGAGGGACTGGATCATCCTCCCGTGTGAAGGTTTATTGTGATAGCTGCAGCTTAATTAAATCGACTGCAGTAAGTCATTTTATTTTCGAGAAGCGAGATGCATGGGCGACCGTTCGGTCTGCACAATGAGGGAAGGGACAGATTTCGCTAGAGCACGCTGGTCTGGTAGAAGAGAGACTTCCTGACAAGGGTACTTTATGACAATTCAATAGCTGGAATGAGTTCAGTAAATTTTCCTTGCCCTGCAGCTCAAAACGCATTATATCCTCATCTATCGCGGGACTCCTGGGGTTGTAACTATTGGCAGCTGAGTAAAGCAGGAGACCTTGTGCTGTGATTTACATATACACACCTGGCCGGGCTGGGCTCGTGGGCTGGCGACACGCTGTGCAATTTATAACACCGGCTATAATGGAAAAAGCCAATATCTGCCATATGTACAGAAAGTTGCTTTATTAAAAGGATCAGTTATATATCCATGTTGGGGCAGTGGGACTGTCGTATTTAAATTGTGCAGAGGAAGATGTAATAAAGCCTGTTTTCCAGTAGGAAAACTCACCTCCCGGGAGACTAGTGCAGTGGTGTTTATTGCTGCACAGAGAGACTTGATTGACGTTGATACGGCTGTGTATTAGAGAATGGCTTTGATATAAAGATAGCACATGCGTTTTAAAAATAATTAGTAGGTTTTCATTTTATTATTTAGCTGTAACCACAATCCTTGACGAATATCCAGGTGTCCCAGTATGTAGATGGCTGTCAGTCACTGATGGATACATGATAGTGAAAGAATTATAATTACTTCCTGGAATGAAACATTAAATTTAAATGAGACAGCACCCGACCCCTTCAGGGAAGACTATGACTGTATTCCCCATTGCATTATAGTAACACTGATGTGATCTGTTCATGTTGCATGGGCCTGGCAGAGTTCTCAGTCCTCACAGCTGTGAGCCTGCACAGCCCTGATGTCGGGCACACAGGCTGTTTTCTGTTGCGGTCCAGTAAGAAGGCAGACTCTCAGTGTGATCTCCAGGACAGGTGTGCTAACCAAAGCCTTGGAAATGGGTTAGCTGGCTTACTCTAACAGCATTGTAGGCCATTTGCCAGTGGGGTTAAACGGAGGAGATCCCAGGTTACAGAGGTTTAAATGTTTGGATTTGAACCTCATTACTCACCTTTGCATCGACATTAACTGCTGTCCATGTACCTGTCCTGCAGGCACATGTCTCTGGTAGGCAGATGTGGCTGCTCTGCCACCAGACTGTTAATGACCTTATTAGCTTGTGTTTCTGAATGTCTGATTTCTACCTTTATTGCTTTATCATGCCTACACTCCTTTCCTTTAGCATTTTCAGATAATCCATCATTCTTGTTGCCAATCCAATTAAACTGCATGTGTTTTTTTTTTCTTTCAGCACTTTCTCAGTAGATAAAACCCCTTTCCTGAAAGGCATCGTTGTTTCTGATGTTAATCTCCTCCTCCTGGCTGGAGGTGCTCATGCAGAGATGTATTTACCTTGGGAGCCATGGGCACTTGTGAAGTAATCAGAAGACCACCTATGGCTCCAAAGATCAATAACTGAAATGCTGCGAAAAAAAAACCTGGCTGCTATATGTGAAGTGTAATTAAAATTAAAGAAAGGAAAAATATAGCCCTGACCCTTTGAAAATATTATACCAATCAGCAATAAAGAAGCTTCTTTCTTGTTTAATGGTGCATTGATTTTTACATCACTAAATAATGGAATCATAAATTACCTGTCACAATAAAATACCACTAAAGTGGAGTGTGAGCTACCAGTGGGCACCTCGGGTTCCACCATCGCAGTTTAAATGGGGAGTAGAGAAACTCAGTGGCGGGTGTTTCTCTCCCAGGCAGGATGATGATTGTGCAGACATCCCTGGCTAACGAGCCTGACCCCGCGGCAGGTGAAGGAGGCAGAGGGGGTGTGGTGAGGCCGGGGAGCGCTGTGAAGCTGTGACACTGGAAGGAAGGGGCCTCTTTTTTACAGCCTCACTCATGTCCTGACATATCGAGCCCTCTCCAGCCCCTCGCACGCACAGTCTCTGCTTTCTCCCTCGAAGCCTGGTGTAAACAGCTATGTGGGAGTTCTATAGGCACACTCCACACAGATGCTTCAATGCAGTAGTGCACATAGTACCACTTTGACTCCTAACTGCAAGTATGCGATTTCCTGTTCTGAAGTGTTTCAGAAATATCCAGCCCTCCCCAAGACATGCCCGTGACCAGTGGTCTGAGACTGGGCGACATTCCATCAGTTGGCATGTTTTTGTAGCATTGAAAGGACTTATTAAGGTGGAAAGCTAATTAGAACATTCCCTGAACCTTTACCCTTCCCGCGCGCGAGGAGCTGGTGACGGAAACACTGAAACTCCCCACGCAGGACCAGTTTGTGTTCGGGTAGAGGGTAAAACACAGAGGATGTGCGTTTAGTAACATTCGCCGCGCTGTGACAGGGCGTCTGTTGTGTCCCAAACAGCGCCGGCATACTGACAGGTGTTTTACCTGTAAAGATTTACGGTAAGACTTTTTGTTTACACGAAAACACGCCATGACTCGGCTTGTGGCTGACGTGTGTGTGCTGTACACACGCTGCGAACAGGCATCACAGTCTGTTCCCGGAGGGGGGGGTGAGGGGGTTGTATCGCCTCGGCCGGAGGACGGAGCGCAGAGTCGGGGACAGCGCGCTGGAGCCGGGAGCCCTCGTCTTTGGAGAACCGCGTCTGGATCGGATTCCCGTCCACCTTCTGTTCATTTTTTCTCTCCCCTCGGTAAACTTTGAATTGGATATCTTTTCCCGGAGGGGGGTTGTCGCCGGGCTGCGCTCGCCCTGCCGTCATTCCGTGACCGAGAGGCGCGCTCAGGTGGAGCACAAGTTCGCTCATCCCCGCAGACCGGCCGCACGCAGGGCGCAGAATCCGTTTCGGCGAGAAAATCTCGGAATTGTAACCCCCTCCCACCTCCCCTCCCCTCCCCTCCTCTACTCTCCTCTCCTCTCCTCTCTCTCGTCTCTGTTGTTCTTGCTCTGCGATTCCAGACCACAGCGCTCCTCTCGCAGCCCGTCTCCGGCAGCGGGGGAAACGGAGAGCCGGTGCCAGGAAGGACCCGAGGGAGGGGGCCGAGATATACCCGCCGCGTCCCCCCAGCCGGACCCGCAGCGGGGGGAGGAGGAGGAGGAGGAGGAGGAGGGGGGGGGGTTCGCCTGCACCAGCCCTCCCCGCGCGGTGCCCGATGCGGGACACCTGCAGCCCGCGCTGGCAGCGAGCGCGCGGACGGGCGGCGGGCATGTGAAGCGCGGCGGCGGACCGGCACGAGGATGTCCGTGCTCCTGCTCGCGCTGCTGCAGCTGCTGGACCCGGCCCTGGGGCAGTTCTTCCCGGGTGAGTCCCGCGCCCGCACCTGCCGCAGGTGTGCGGGCTCGCCGTCCTCCTCCCGGGTCTCTGGCGAGCCCGGAGCCTCCTGCCCGCCGTTGTCGGGAGTGAAAGCGCCGTGGGTCCGGGGGGCGGACAGTGCGTGTGTGTGGTGCCCCAGAAGGAGCCCATCGGGCGCCGGGCCGGAACCCGAGCCGGGAGCACAGCCCGGGCGGGTCGCCGAGCCGGCTCTCCCGGGAAGCTCGGCGCCTCGGCAGCGGTGCGCAACTTTTATCGTCCAAGCATTTTAAACCGCTTTCGCGTGAGGGCCAACTTGTTCTCTGGCGTGCCGGCTCCCTTTGAATATTGCTCTCTTTCGTTGTTGTTCTTTTTTTTTTAAATAATAATAACACTCTCCACAGAATCGGTGTTCATGTGGCGCTCCCCATCGTTTAAACAACGCGACCACCACATTTCAGTTAGTCTTGTTCTGGGTGTTCGTTCCCCGGCAGAGCAAGTTGAGCAGCGCGTTGGTTCACGTTCACTCGGCTCGAGTTTCGCTCGGGCTCAGCTCGGGGTGGGGGCGCAGTCCGGGGTCCGAGAGCCGGTGTGGAGAAGGTACAGTTTCAGGCTGCTGGTGCTGCAGGGGACCTGGAGGCTCGTTCTTCGCCTCCAGCGCCCGTTTCACTCTACAGAAAGGCGTCAACGACAAATTATAGGATTTCCAGCTACCCATCACTTTGACCGCCGCCGCCATCCGAAGAGCGAATCTGTTGCCTTTAGAATTAAATTAAACTGTCTAATCTGAGGTTCCTGTGGGCGAATGTTGCTGTTTAAATACGGGGTTCACGGGACTGAAACTTCACTCCGCTCGGAGTTTGAAGGCTGAACGGAGCCCCTCCGTCCGCACAGCTGCGCTGGGGGCTCCGGCCGCGCCGCTAGATGGCGCTCTTGCAGCGCCGAACTCGCGAGTCGCCCTGCCGGAGACACCGACACCCTTGAGCCCGAATGACACCGGGAGCCAGTTCAGGATTTGTGCTCCAGCGCCCACCGACCACTGTACAGCATCGGGAGGCTTCTTTCTGCCGTGTTGTCGAGCTTCATTCAGACTTGCGCCGGGTTTAGGTCTTTATAGTACTTCATCGGCTGTAGTTAGAACGCGATAGCCGTTCTGTTCTAGTTCTGCATCGTGACTATGATTAGACATGCGTGTACTTGTAAACCTTGCAAACAAGTCTAAAACGTTGAAGAACTTATAAAGGCGGCATGATGTGAAATGCTGATCCCAAGCCGTGAAAATCATGCAGAGTGGAGCAGGAAGTCGGGTTCGGGTTGTCTGTGGGTGTCGCGTCCCTCGTGTTTAAATCAGTGGAGTAGTGCCGGCAGTGAGGACAGGCACCGGGAACTGGCATAGCGAGGTGCTGAGGTGCTGCTGTCCCGGGATTCACAGCTCCCCGGCCGGACCCGGACACGCCTGCGGACTGTCCGGCTGCGTGTCCGCGGCGCGCCGGCCCGCAGGCCCTTCCGTCTGGAGCGGGGTGGTCAAGTTACCTGAGCACTAAAAATAGCGCGGGAGAGCTTCGGTTACAGCAGACTTTCTGCACGTTCCGTTCCGGGACAAACGATAGCCCCCCGAGAGAGAGAGAAAGAGAGAGAGAGAGAGAGAGAGAGAGAGAGAGAGAGAGGCTCCCTACACCTGTAACCGGAGCCCCCGGCTGCTTCCCTCCTCTCGGCTCACATGCTTCCCGCGGCGCCCTGCTCTAGCGAGGTGCGGGACTGACCGTGCTGGACAGTCCAGCCGCCCGCACCTGTTGCCTGTGAGCGGCGGGCTGGGGGCAGGGAGACGAGGCGAGCCGGGGACCCTGGTGGGGAGCAGCGTGTCGCCAGTGCAGTGCGGACAGCCAGTGAAAGGGCCCCTTACAAAGTCTTGCAAAGGGAAAGTCACCGAGGAACAGGCACATTGCATGCTCGGATTTTTATTGAGCAGAATAAAGTGGCGCATCCGTGACCGTCCACAACTTGCAGCCGTGTTCTCCCTTTGAGCTGCTCTCGGTGTGTTTCACAGTCCCAGCCTGGGGACTCCCTGCGCCTCATAACTTCAATACTGTAGTCTCATGTGAGCATTAAACGGGTCAATCTTCATGCAATGCTGCGTTTCGGTAAATATTGAAATATTGAAAAAGTTGAAAGTAACATAACTTGTTGCACATTTCTTTTCTCGTAGCGTAAATAATAGTTGTTTAGTTGATTAGTTTTCTCCTTTTTTGAGATTAAAACTCGTGGCACTTCATCTGCATTCGGCTCGTAAGAAGTCCCCGTGAGAGCGGCCGTGCGCTTCTGTGCAGCGGCGGGGTCTGCGCTGGCCGCTGGGCTTGGCTGCAGCGGGGCCTCCGGGAGACTGAAGGGGTTATTTTTTTGTCTCTGCCTTGTCCTGAAGACAAGCCCACAGCTGACCATCAGTTTACTTCTCCGCTGGAGAAACTGCGTGAGCATAAGAAGGCGTCTACTTTATTATTCCATAAATCTGACTCTGAATATGAACTCACACCCTTTATAGTTTCTCAGACACGCTCAGCGTTTTGCACATGGCTGAACGGCTGATGATTATTCTACAGTACAAATCTTAAAATCAAACTCTCTTCAGAGTTGAATTTTGAGCGCGTTGTTGCATTGTGTCAGCAGCGTGGTTTTGAACGGTCTGTGTCAAAGCTTTGAGCAGTGGCCTTTCAAACCAGCCGCCCCCCTTTTGTCCTCCGTGGGCATCTGACTGGCGCAGACGCCCCTGACTGTGTGCTGCTCTGTTTCTCTTCCTGCTCCGTGCGTCACGTTTGCCACCGTGTGGAAGCAGCTCAGCTGCGTCCCTGTGGAAGCACTTGGTATTCCGAGCGCTTGTCCGCCGGCAGTTCATTCAGGGCTCCAGCGCTGGCCTGTCAGCTGCTGAGGTTCGGAGAGCTGGCCACGCGGAGTGTCAGCGCAGGGTGATTTATTCTTCCTGACTGTTGTTCGCCCCGGGTGGGGAAGCCGCATTCATTTTGTCGGGAGGCTCGTCTGATGTTTTAATTTCGCCCGAGACGTGACAGGGATACTGTTCTAAAAAAAAACAAAACTCTCTGTGCCAACCGACCCTCTGTGCCAGAGTAGGCTGGGGCCCGTTTGAGGACGGGGTGCTGCAAAGTTAGTTCTGTTCGCATAAAAATAACTCAAGGAGAAAAAACGTGCTGCTTGCATGCGAACGCGTCTGCGCCCAGCGTTTGCTCCCTTTGCTCCTTGGATGAGGAAGGGGCTGCCACTTTCAGGATGTCCCTTCCGGTCTCCGCGGCCTGGCCTTGAGCAGGGAAGGGTCTGACTGCCCACGGCATGCTCATTATGCGAGGACATTGCCCGGGTTTGCTAGCTGACAAGAAACTGACTCCACTGGGTGTTCAAAGAGGAACAAGGAGCAGGGCTAGGGTCAGTGAAAGAATAAGATCTTGTCAAATACAACCCCAGTATGTTTCAGTTGCATCCCAGCTCACAAAGACCCAGAAAACCAGGCTTCATTACTGGACAGAGGACAGCAGACACAGGGAAAATTGACATGAATCAGGCTATGGTCTTGGAGATCAACAGGCCAGGACTGACCAACCCTGATCTGATTACAGGATGTTGTAATTTTTTTGGAAGTAATAAGCCTTGTGTTTCCTCCCAAAGTGTCACTGACTTTCAGTAAATATCAGAAATTTGTTCGCAGCCGTTTAGCTTGACGGTGCTCCTCTGCCTGTCTGCCTGGCTGTCTCTGCCACTGGCATCGTCAGTGTGGGAGTTCTGTTTTCAAAGGAACTTTCAAAAGCTGAGCCTTTTAACTGCAGCAATGGGCTGAGACAGAGGCTGAAGAATGGCCTCGAATTAATGGTGTAATCAGGAGGTCGGGTCCCTGCGGCCTTGACTTCGGCTGCTGAAATGAGATGCAACAGAGAGGGTGATCTGTGAAGTGTGGCAAAGTGCTTTCTGGAGGAGGTGGCGAAGGGCGGGGGATTAAAAATAAAGCTGAATTGTGCCCAAGCACTGATTTCACACTGATTACAGCCGTGAAATTTCGAACAGGGAGGAAGAAAAAAGAAATCAAATCAGAACTAATAAGAAGAATAAATACAAACAGACGGCAATGGCCAGGGTAAAGTACTTCAGGTGTCTGAGAAATCAGAAACTTAACGGCACGAGTGGCCTGGAAGCGAGTCTCGAGTTAATGGATTTCATGTGCAGGCATGCCAATGGTGGGCTGTACGCAGTGTTTAGTTGTTATGTGTCCATTTCTGTTTTCAGCACAGACTTGATTACTTCCTCTCTGCTCATTAGAGACGGTCTAGTCTGTAATTGTTTCCTCTAAACCCCGTTATCACCAGCTTCTGATGTTGCCGGGTAGCAGCAGAATGACGTGGTTTGACGAGCTGCCAATCACCTGGTTAATTAGTATTCTCCGAGCCCCTTAGGCTGAGGCCCTGCATCCAGCGTGTTGGGGACACAGGGGTTTGAGGTTTAGAAGCAAAGGTCTTCTTATCTGCGTGGTTGTCTCGTCTAATCCCCCAGCTCCCGTTTTAGTTGTTTGGCTAAATTGCAACTCGGTGCCAGTGCTGATATCCACCAGCACAGCAGAGCCCCTGTCAGTGTCTTTTGTCTGTTGTGGCAGCAGTTTAAAAGCTCCTATCTGACCTCCCCCCCTCCCCATCAAAATAAAAAGAACACTTTCTTTGTGACTGAAACTGAATACTGAATTTTACCCCTCAAGTTTCATCGGCAATAAATTCACAGAGAAACCTACCTTTCATGAACAAAATGACTAAAATCCTGACAGCTGCTCTGAGCTCGTGGTCTATAGCTTTTATGTGTTAACAGCATTGAACGTGTATTCACTTTTTCTCCAAGCCTCTGGATTTCAGAGGAGCTGAATCAATGAGCTACCTGAGCTCAGTGTAGTGTGATCACTGCAGAGCAATGATGCTCTGGGTGAAAGGGCTACATAACAAGTGATAAAAAATAATTATTTTTTCTTG